GACAAATTAACAGCTAGTTTTGTTTTGGTTTTTGTTTGTTACGCTTGGTTTATGTCAATGTAAATTACAGTTATTACAAGCTGAACAGCTTATTCTGAGTTTTACGAATGCATCTTTAAAGTTATTCAAGAAGTAAACTTTACTGAGAATAATTTTATGCAGAAATGCCATGTTTAGTATTTAGAATTATTATTGATGGATAAAAGTTTGTCACCAGCAGGTTTTCAGGATAGGCAAGGGAAGCTTGTTTTATTTCACTTTTTACTTTATGGAGTTGCGTTGGTTTTGCATCTTTCCATTTTCCCAGATACACAGATACAAAAATTTGTGTAGGCTTTGGAGAAGAAAATATTATTTCTTCAGGTTTGTCTAATCACCTGTCAGCAACTGGGCTTGTAACACTCTATACTCTCAATTTTCACATACTTCTAAACTCAGAAAAAATAAAATCCTTTCTCAGGAATTCTCCTGTCCTTGAATACATTTTTAACTGTTCATTAAAATGTTTCTAGAAGTAAAGAAACTCCTTATTAACATCGTCAAAAATTTTTAGTGATTTTCATCTCAGAAGAGAATGTTGCACAGAAATAACAAAACATTGTGTTGTCTTTTGAAGACTTTTTCTGGACTATGTGGAAACTTATGAATGAAATAATAGTTCACAAATTGTATGTCTTATATTTAGCATATACAAACCCAAAAGAATTAGCACAAGTAAAATTAAATAGCATAGATGATTATGGTTTTGCTTACTATTGTTCCTTTTGTCTCTCACAAAATGCAAGTTTAAAATTTAAATTGCCCTTTGGAACAGTAGTGACGTTAGCTATGTCAAGTGGGAAACTGCTAAAATCAACCTGAGATGATGACATGAATTAGTATCTGTCATTTACAGCATGATTATAATAATTTTAAGTTTATCACAGGATAAGAACTGTGATTTACTTTCTTTACAGTTTAACATGCCACTCATGACCTTGCAAAAGGTAGCCCATTCTGGTAGAAGATAATCCTCCTCTGAAATCTATTTTTAGTAAGAGAGGATAATAGCTGTTAATATTAAATACCTGTTTATACCTCGACTTTGATTCAAAACACTGCATTTTAGTAAACTGGAACTAGCTTCAGCATGAAAACAAAGAAAGGTAGATGATAGAATCATAGAATGATTCATGTTGGAAGAGACCTTGAGATATCATCCTGTCCAATCCTCTGCTCAAAACAGAGTTATTTTATTTAGGCCGGATTGCTCATGCAGGTTATTGTTCAAGTTGGAAATAATAATAATTAAAAAAACCAAACAAAACCCTAAACATAATATTCATTGCTCAGCTAATAACCTCATCTAGTATATGGTGCCTTTATTTTAAGTGTGCTGTAGACCTCAAAATGAAAAATAAAAAGAAACAGAAAAAGAAAAAGGAGACAGGCACAGGTCATTGTGGATTTAGAAAATGTGCAGAGTTCCTACTCTGTGTTTGACAGAACCAAGGCCAGACAACATGAACAAAACATACAGCTTACATTCAAGAACGCTCATTTATTACTATGTCCCTGTTTATGAAATTTTGAAAAGCTTTCACTGAAAGTTGGGAAAGGATAGCCTGTTGCAATGAGCAAGCCATTCTGTAAATCTCTAGTCTACACACTGGGCATAGGTGTCGCCCTCACAGTTCCTTATGGGAAGGCAAAGAAAACAGAAGGTGCGACAAGGTGGTCCAGGTATCCAGACTGGCACTAAGGGAATAAATGAATCATGTTGTGCTTCTTTTAGTAAGCATTAATACTGTCAACGGACTTGAGGAGGCAGAAAAGCTGGGGTTAAAATTAAGCCACTTCACTGGACTTTAAGTCAGGAAGTAAAACATAGCTGAATTTGTGAACTTTATAGGTTTGACTTTACTGCTATGGGTTTTTATGCTAGAATTGCCTTTGGCTGGAACTTAGGAACTTGTCTGAAACCTTCCTCCTCTCCTCTCTCAACCCCCAATTTCACTGACAAAAATTTTCTATCTACATTAGCACCCACTTCTACCTTTCACTTCACCAATCATCTCACATTTGTCTCCTGGAAAAGAGACACAGAGAAATGCTATCGATAGTTTTGTCTCAGCATGTATATTCAGAAACAGGATTGCAAAAAGGTTGAAGGTTTGCTTCCAACAGATAAGGAGAAAGAAGCCTCTAAAATGACTTTCCTCTAACATCTGAAAACTAACTGAAGTACACTTTTCTTGCTCCTAAATATATAGGCTGTCAGAAAATGACCATCAGCCTAGATAGCAAAGTTTAACAGAAAAATAAACCACAGTGGTAGCTCAAGTTAGGTATGGGCTGAAACAACTATGCCAAAGGGAGTAGCTCTAATGCTACTGAATCCCAAGGAAGTCTATGCAGACTTCCAGGAAGCATGTCAGTTACAACAATCATATATTTGAGATGGGAACTAATACTAGTACAATTAAGTATACTAGAAACTACACAAAATTTGATGTGAATCACTGAGCAGATGGTAGGCTGCAAAACTGATTAAGGATAAGTGACCAACACGGAGACAAAAATCCATATTGTACTGCCAAATCTCTTCATCATCCATTTTCCTGTTGAATATATTTTCAGACTTTGTAGCTGAAAGAATTAAATGAAATAAATTATAAATTTCAATAGATCAAATATAAATTAACTTTTTTTTTTCATGAATGAAATAACCATCTGAAAATTTTTCTGCCATCTCTAATTACTTTGTCATCAACATGGTGCCATTTTATGCGTTTATGAAGTCCTATGTCACTACAAGCCTACAGGACAGCAGTACCATCTTTTCAGTTTATGAACATGAACCCTATCTGTACATATTGCCGTGAATATGAGAAGAAGCAACAGTAATGAAAAAAAAATGTCAAGAGATGATAACAAACAAACGTGATGAGAATAGACTACAATTATGGCAAGTGTAGGTAAGCAAATGTGCGTTGGGAAAGGATAGGCATTTTATTGCCTATCACGGTGCAGTATTCAGTGTTCAAAGTTGTATACAGCTCCTGTCCTTTTTGCTAATGAGACACTTTCTTCCACAAACATAGTTCGTATCCTCAAGGAACAATCCACCTCACATGTATCTTGCATTTATATCCCTGGAGAAAAATAAACGGTTCAATTGTACCATAAGGATTCGCATACATTTTTAATCACTTCTTTCCCAAAGTTGGGGAATGCCACTAATGTTTAATCCTATACCTGAACTTTCATAATGAGGGGAGAAAATTAAACATTTCTTTTTAGTGGCTCACAATGTTTGTACGTGGTTATGGGATCTGGGGATTTTGTTATTTTGAAGAAAACTGTGAGACCTGCAAGACTTTCCCTAGCAGACCTCATATTTCATATACTCAGCAGTTCAGAAAATGTACAAAATTAACCAGAGGAGTACTGCGGTAGGAGTGGGTGTGTGTGTGGAATAGAAAACAAGAAAAAAAAGAAAAGGAAAAAAAAAAAAGATATTTGGATTTTAATTGAGAAAACTCTTTCTTTCCCCTCGGCAATTCTAATAAATTAGAACTTTTGTGTCAAAGATCTGCAAAGAAGAAACCAATAATGTTGACTTTCTCCCATTATTCTTAGGTGCAAGATATAGATATCTGCCAGAAAAACAAGGTAAATTAGGAGATTTTGCTGTATCACCTACCTGAAGTTCTAGCCCAGAGGAAAGTAATCAGTGAGTGCACGTATTTGTCAATATCCAAAAAATGTTAATTGTAACTGAAAATTGTGGCAAAAAAATGCTTTACAGGATCTGGAACTGGCAGGCAGTGGGGATATAACACTACCATCCTGACTTCCATTACAAGCTAAACATTGCTATCCAGGTAGTTTTTAATCAAATTCTGTATTTGACATTACATGATAACACTGAACAATTTTTAATTCTTTCTAATTATCTTGTCTCTTATTATCCAGACAGCGAACTTCTCATTTCTCCCCCTTTGCCAAATTCAAGTACTTTTAGCACGATGGATCTGCTGAAATTAATTATGAGCTATTTTTCTTCACTGGACCTCTACCCTGTGTCCAAGGACACTTTTTTGCTTGAAGACAGGAAGGGGCATAAGCAAGGTCAGAGTAAAGGCTTATAGCTAGGTGAAAAGCTGAGGAAGATATTCAGACTGAGGCACAAGGATTGAAGAGCCATACAAAGCCATATCAGTAGAGCATAGAAAGGAAATATGAAACCACTGGGGTGAACAATGAAAGCAAACATGGAAGAGACAAACAGGAAAGAGGATATGGTCAGAAAAATGGGAATGAGAAATGGAAAACAAGTGAATGGCAGTTTTAAAACAGAATTATTTCAGTGAATAAAATAGAAATCCATCTTCATCTCCAAAATGTGTGAAAACCAAGGAGAGACTAGAACTCCACTGTAACTATCGTGGGGGTAGTTTAGCTGGAGCTACAGGCTCATCTACACTCACAAAGCAAAGTAAATTCTGAAGAAATTAAAAAGTCAAACTCTTCTGATTTCTTTAGAACCACGTCTTAGTAGTTGAGTAGCTCTTTTCACATGCTGAAAGAGATACGCCTAAAGAAGTGTAAATTCAAAGCATGAGATGTAATTCATAAAGTACAGGTGACACCCTTAGCTCTGCCACAGGCTGCTAAAATCACCCTGGGTCAAAAACTGAATATTTTTTGTATTAATATCATTACTTGTGATCTAAACTACTTAAAGGCTTTTTCAATCAGAGAACTCCTCACTATCTGTTACAAGGTTCCTACCTATTATATCTGTTTTCTTCCAGCACAGAGGTGGCAATATTTCAGGAATAGATGCAATATTTCACAAAAAAACAATGCTGTCAAAATCCTTAATTAGAAGACACAAACGAAATACCAGGACAAACAGCGCAATAAGCAATTTTCAGGCAAAAATCTTCCCATCCCTTTACCTTACCCACTTGAAGGGTCTGGGACCAGCTCCCACGAGCTGCTGATTAACTCACCGTCAGAGCCAGCAGTTTTCCGTAGGTGAGATGGGCTGGGATGTGGTCGCTCTTGGATCTCAATGACTCCACGTACCAGCGCTCCGCTTCTGGCAACCGGCTCATTCTCATATAGGCTTCTCCTACAGGGTGAAACAAATCTTAGTGAGAATGTCCAAAATTTCTCAAGGTGTCCATAATTTATGATCTCATTTATAATTTGCTGTTTATTAAATGGGCAGAGATCTTGAAAAGGGTGAAGTGCTTTGAACACGTTCAATGAAAAAAGCAAAATAGCCTTACACACACTTGAGTGAGGAGCTTGAGCCTTATTAGGCCTGACAGAGCATGGTTGAGATGAAAGTCTTGTTGGCATAGAATTTCAAGAGAGAACTCCAGCTGTTAAGTTTGAGTCAAAAGTCTCAAAATGACAGAAATTTTATCACATCTATTATAGAGAAGTTACTTCTTTTCCATCAGTCTACATTGCACATCATGGAGTGGTAGGTAGAATACAGAATGTCCTTCCCTTTAACCACAATACTTCAAGAACCTAGATGTAAATGTGCCCCTGCCCAAGCCAATGACAGACTGAAAATGGCTACAGGAGAGTCAGGATTTCACCATCTCACCACCTGATTCATTCCAAATAAATGGCTAAGTATCTTCCCAAACTTATGAAGTCACAGTTTATCCAGTGCCACCACTGGAGGATGAAGAGAGGACTACGGCTGACCCAAGTAGAGGATGGCTAAGGTTGTCTCCAGGTGAGCCAGTGTCCCCAGTTCTGAGTTACATGGGAATGAACAGCTGTGAAAGCATCAGAGAGAGAGAGAAGGACCGGTGTTCTCTATTCTAGCTTGAGGCCAACTATTACACTGCCAAAACTCAAAGAAAAAGGTACCACCTACACACTTAAAGAAGTAAAACACAGGGAACTCTTACCACGGGAGCTACTTCATCTTGAGTATTTACAGGTGCTATGAAGGATTTTCTTGATAAAAGAAAATTGGAATTTTTTTTTTTTTTTTTTTTTTGCTATCTTGTCACCAGCAGATGGGGATCCCAGGCAAAATGCAGCACATAAGTTTGAGTTTCAGGAGTTAGGGTGTAGTGCATGTAAAATGACCAAGCCACATCCTACAGATAAAATGAGCGTGATGTAGAGTCAGAAGTCATGCTGAGCCAAGGCTAAGGGAAGCCAACATGATTTTTATGAGCAAACAGAGGTTTTCCAAAAAGGGGTGCAAGCCTGTAAATCTAGCAGTCCAGGATTTCTAATTCAAGGATCTACAGAGCATTCTGTACTCATGCACTGGTCTTGGATATCTGATTACATACACAGAATTAGATGATGTTTCAGTCCCAGAAGTACTCAAGGCATTCTACTGCTGGTTAGGGCCAAAGTAAAAGAACAATTCTCAAAAAACCCAAGCCAAATTAAAAAAAAAAAAAAGAAAAAATCCAAACAGGAAAGAAACTCCAAAAGAACACAAACACCCTCCAAACCCCATGATTAAATTCAGGGATAGCAATGTCACGTGTTTTTTTCACCATGTCAGCACTCACAAATAAGTGACGTAACATTATACCTTGTTATGCATAAAACAAAGTCATGAAGTCAAGTGCTGAAAGGATGGAAGAAGCCAGAAGTCAAGCTATATGCTCCCCTCAACTCCCCTCCCTAGCTATATGCTTTATGGTAGAATGTTTAATTATTTGATTGCATACTATTTTTCCCACAGGCCCCTGCTTCATTTAGCATACAGGAAATGAGGAATCCATATTGCCATTTTCTTTAAGTGGAAAATTCCAGCCCAACCTGCTACAGCTTGGCAAAGTTTCAAGCAATTAACAAGAAGATCCTTTAAAATGTAAGCAGCCATAAGAGATGGAGTTACTATCTGCTGGTAGTATACGCTGAATGCACTGCCAAATTTCAAAAAGACCTAAGGTTCTCGTCTATTTTCCATGATGGATTCTGATATAAGAAGAGATTAACATCTTCGGAGTACTGGCAAATTCAATTTTTAATAGGTTTTAAGAGCTCAACTACTTTACAAGCTAACCTCCTAAAACTTTGAGGGTATTTCTGAGTGGTGTATCTAGAAACGAAGCTATAATATGTCAATCTAAATGTCAAACTGCAGAGAAATTACTTTTATCCCCCTGAAGACTTTACACGGAATTCTCTATAGCTGAACTTTTTTTTTTCCCTGAGGAGTCAGAATTGCTGTATTACAAGCAATTAGAACACGTCATTACTACAGAAGGAAGTACTGTTAGGGGGTCTGTTATTAATTTAATCTTCTAAATTATTTACAATGACATTTCTACCTAAAAAGAAACCAAAGTAAGTTGAAAATTGACAAAGGCTCTGCCATCGCCATACTCAAAGACCCAAATAAAATCAAGCAACTGTTAACTGAAGCGTTAATTCAATCAGCTGATTTTGTGTGTTAGACTACTGCAATTTTAATAAAAGCTATTCCAGCTTAAGATAGTTTTCCAACAAAATGACAGAGGAAACAAGTATCTGTCATTCAGGATTCATTTGTGTGTCTGAGATTAAAATAAGAAAAACAACATTTGTCATTTACGATTGTGGATTTTTATAAACCTGCAACAAGAATGATTTAGTCATTAGGAAAATAAGAGTGTCCATTGGCAGAAAATATGCAAACCAGTGGCACATGTGAGTAGGTTTCTATACTTCCTTTAACAATTACTTAATTTGTAAAATGTTTCAAAACTCATGTTAAAATATCTGGAAGATCACACACACACACAATATTTATTAATGAAACTTGTCCAAGCTGTAAAGTTCAAGAGAGTTACATTCTACTTTTCTAGTAAAGGTAACAGCAACAGCAAAAGAAATTCATGGCAGTGGAAACTTTAAGACATAAATTGACAGTTATTTCAGTTTCCGAATCCATATCAACATGCAGCCATCTGTGGCTTTGCCTGCACAATGAGTGGTGGCAAGAAATTCAACAGCTAACTGCAGTAAAAGGAGATAAATCAGTCATTCAAAAATTTTTCAATTTTTACAGTGCAGCTAATATTGTCTGTTATTTATGCATCCATTTCTTAGCCTACTCCAAAAGGAGGAACATCGATTATTTAATTGTAACTCTCATTTACTAATGTAGTACAAGAAAACACATTAATATGCAACAGCAACACTATTTAAAAGAGCGTATACATTGTTTGTAGTGTATACAAAGTTATTAACATTTATGACAAACGAATGAGAAATGGGCTACCTTTTAACTAGACTTACACCAGTCTATCTAAAATCCTAGTACTCAAGTGGATTTTCTTTGCCATAGAGATAGATCAGTTGCAAGACTACCATTCTCCAAAGCATTTCCCCAGAATCCTTGGGACTGAAAAATAATCTTTCAAAGTAAACAACAACAAAAAACCCCAAACTAAACCAACAACAACACCCCACTAAAATGATCCCAGGACAAATTAATTAAGTATAATTAAAGAACAATAACAATCATATTAAACATTAAATATTTATATTAAATAGTAATACTAATAAAGGATCAGCTTGCTAGCAGCTATTTCCCCTGAAGGGCTAACTTTATACTCAGTAATGAAGTGGAATATGAGCTTAATACAAATCCTCAAAAAAAAAAAAGTAGTAAAGATTTTCTAATATACATCACACATTGTTAAAAAGCAAAATTAGGTACCATTTACATGAATATATGTTATATGGTTCTAGATTAACCTCTCATCTGCTGATTGCAGATTTGTTCTGTTTCAGATGCACATTGTCATACCAAGGACAGGCTGACTCCTTGCAAGATGTTAGACTTGTTGATGAGCAAGTACAATGGAACTACAGATGTAATAGCACTGTGCCTCTATAGGTGTCATGTACCCATACTTTCAAATAAGTCCCCTCTGAGGACCCCAAATGATACTGCTGAAAAGACAACTGAAAAATTATCTGTGTAAAGGAGACAGTGCAGGGTAAATCTGCCTTGCATCGTCCTTGTATATGTTAATTATCTGCCACCCAAATTGCTGGATGGTAAAAATCTAATATAGAAAATAAAGAATTTGGCACTGACAAGAGCAGAAGTCAAAACAGAAATTAAGATGGAGATGCACTTTGATAAGGAAAATCTCAAATATATACATTCAGTCAGGATTTAAATTTCATTTTTCCATCATTTCTTTGAACTGTGAACATAAAGAGGTTGCCTTAGAAAATGATGGAAAGCTCTGCATCCCTGTATACCACAATACCACAAGGAGTTTGTGTCTTTCATAATGCAACCGTGCAGCCTCTTTGTGCAAATTAAGGCTGCAGATGCTCTTACCATAAATGTACCTCCCTAGATATATAACTTCCTTCTTCCCTTAGGTATCAGTGCATACAATAACATAATAAATCTAGAAACATAGTTTGATGTTATACTATACTGATGTTTAAGATACACTGCAAAAGATTAACAGTCTTAGTGATAAATATGCAGTGCATGCACATCTTCTCTGAAACAGCTGAAGCATGTGAACTTAATGAGCATCAAGTTCTGCACAGACTAAGCATATCCTGGGTTTTTTTTTTCCTTTTCCAGAACAATCATCTCCTTGAAAATTTCAAGGAATGTGTTGTATTTTAAGTGGACTTTTGATAGATGGGAGTCAATCCACATTTACTTTGGTTGAGCAGATTCTTACAGGCCTCAATTAGCCAAAGCAAAGCCTTTGATCTGATTTAATTAGACCACTAAGCTACTTTGCAAGGAAAATACCTAAAGTGGAAAACAGATATAAATGAAGGGCAAAATAAAATCAGTTGCAGCGTGGAACAGCATGGACTTTGCACAGCTGTCTTCTGTTGTACAAAGACTTCCAGTGAAAGAAGTATATTGACACAATTAGAAGCATTGAGCTCACCTGAGATAGATAATTTCATTTTCATTTTCCAACAGATGTGCAACTAGCAGTAAATCATAAGGGTACAAACTAAGAATTCATAACTGAACAAGTGATTGCACTCTTTTCTTGCCTTTTACTTTATTTACACACATTTAAAAGATTTATTTTTTTTTGTCAGTAAAACATAGACATTATGCCAGTATAGGTTTCTTTAAAACACTCTTAATAGGAGAAC